AGTGCCAACATTTATCCAGCTGGAATCATCTAATACTGTGGGTTTACACACAAAAGTGCACTGGTGACTGTCAGATGTATAAAAGGCTCCCCTTAACAAAAAGTATATTTTCAAGGCAATGGGTTGCTTTTGGGTTTGGGAAAGGCTCCATATCAGAGACGCTGAGGATTTTTTTTAAAAAAAAAAACACAGAGCTTTCCACCTGTTTCTGTGTATATCAGAATGGAAAAATAAACTGGAGAGTTGGAGAGTTCATGTTCTTTTAAGCATTCCAGGTGATTCCAATACATTTTCTGTTCTAGAAAGATTTTTGGCTTACTTCGAGTAACATGATCCAACATCTTACACTTTTTTTCCTGCCAAGAAGTTCCTTATGTTTACTTCTCACCTATTCTTTCTTTGTTTAGTTCTCACTGAAAGAGAAAGGATAATTCATAAACATCTTACATATGTATACACCAGGGAATGTGAATAATGATAGTTTTCTTGGGGACCGAGGGCAAGCTAGTTGGAAACCTCAGCATCCCCCAGTGTTGAAATAATCTCCTGACCAGATGTTTCCTTCACGGTTTGGAACAGGGCACAGAGGTCCCAGTGGAAGACTCTCTGGACCCTAGCTTGGCCAGCTGGATCAGCTGCAGGTGGAGCAAATGGGACCCAAGGGCCCCATCAGGTCACCTTGCTGAGTATGAGTCAGGCCAGCAGCTCTTTATTTCTTCCTGTCTCCCCCACTTCCCACCACTCATCTCTGTGGGCAGCTGCCAGAGCAGGGAACAAGAGTCAGGGAGGGAGAGGAGGGATTTCTTAATGGATCCTCCATCTCTTCAGTGGTTTGGGGTCTGGCAGAGATAATCCAGACCTGAACCAAATTGGCTCCTCCCCTGATGGATTTCGGTTAATGCAATAGCTGCCGAGAAGCAAGGCGATCTCAGGGAAACAAAATCAATTTCTCCTAGCTGCACGAGAAGCACAGATCAAACGCCCACATATCTTTTTTCTTATTTATTTATTTGTTTATTTACTTATTTTTTTATCTGTCTGCTAGCCATGGAGTTCTAATTGCTGCTCATGGTTGGCTTCCTGCCACTGAGGAAGCCTCTCTCTTAGTGTCTGACCTTTGAAGAGACATAGGAGTGGTCAAATGCCAAGTGACTCCTCGAAACTCTGGTGATCCAAAACACTCTTCCCTAGCCCTTCATATGAAATACAACTTAACAGTCACAAGAGTCAGCAAAGGAGGCCTGGCTGTCTGTTATCTGGCTGGTTACAGACAGGGAAACAGCAGAAATCTAGCAGTCTATTGCAATATCATTCCACTGTCGGGGGATAATCCTGATAACACATCCTTGCTTCTTTTTCCATAAACTAGCATACAACATATTCCATTTCATTCTGTCGTCATCATATGCAATTGGTGTTGATCTTTGTAGACTATTTTTCACCACCGACTCCTAGCCTTGTATCCTTCCACCTCCAATATTCTGTTTACTTACCTGTCACACTCATTCAGTTGCCTTTTGCACCTCTTTTCTACTCCTTTCCTTCTTGTCATCTTCTTGCACATTTCATTGTCTGCATCCACACTCAAACTCATACATGTGTGTGTGATGTGTGTGCACGCACATATGTGTATAGATATGCATTAAAATTTAGGATCTGCATATGAGAGTTTATACGGCATTTGTTTTCTGAATTTGGGCTTTCTTGCTTAATATAAATTCAAGATCTGTCTATTTTGGGGAATTTTCATTGTTTCATTTTTCTTCACAGTGAAATAAATTTTTGTGTTTATACACCCATATTTTCATTAAGACTTCATATGTTGATTCTACGTTGATTTTGTTTTCTTGATATCATGAAGACCAGGAACAAGCAAGGATGTATATATGTCTCTGTGGTAGAAATACAGTCCTGTACATGTATACTCAATAATAGTATAGCTAGATCATATGGTATTTCTTATTATTAATTTTTGAGAAAATTCTAAGCTTATTTCCAGAGTGGTCTCAGTGGTCTGAATTCCTATGAGCCGAGAATAAGACATCTTTCTCCACATCTTCATCAACATTTATTATTATGTGTTTCCTTGATGATAGCCTTTATCACTGGGGTGAGATGGGCTCACAAATCAATTTAACTTGCATTTTCTAATGGCTAAGGATGTCGACCACTTTAAAATATTCATTGACCAGTTGTATTTCTTCTTTTGAGAACTGCCTGGTCATTTCATTAGGCTATTTATTGGTTGACAGTTTATTGGTGAGCAGGTATGTGTTGCTTTTTTAATTCTTCATATAGTCTAGATATTAACTCCTTGTCTGAAGAATAACTGGCAAAGAATTTTCTCCCATTCTATAAGATTTCTAATCACTCCAATGACAGGATTTTTTAGCTGTGCAGAAAAATTTAAAAAATCTTATCTATCCTAAGGCTGTTGTAGATGCCACTTTATTTGTGATTTTAAAGATACTCAACTAGATACAAACACTGCAAGTATATTCCGATGAACAAGGACCCTAGGGAATATAAGGTGACAGAGTCATCTGAGTGCCAAATGATAACTGTCACCAAGCCAAAGTTTTATTCCAGACATCTTGGGAAATGTCAAAGTCCCCATTATCATTCCATATTTCACCGCAAAAGTTTTCTTCAAGTTTCTAGATCTTGTAGATGAGATCAATGGATGGGCATTATATAGAGAAGCCTGAATGTTGTAAAAGTCTCAGTTGGGCTCCAAAGAGGAAGCAAGCGTAGAGGACAAGGAGCTAATAATGCCCTTTTGTAGAGGCTATTGCTACAGTCCTTCTTGTTTCTGCCACTTGCAGCCTCCTAACTTTCAGCTTGGTGCTCTCAGAGATGCAAATGGAGCTAAACTATCACTCTCCTGTAAGAAGAGATGGCTATTCCGGGCATAAAAGGCATAAATAAAAGTCTAGAAAATAGCCAGGCGATGGTGGTTTTTGCCTGTTATCTCAGCACTCGAGAGACAGAGGCAGGTGTGTCTCTGTGAGCTGAAGGCCAGCCTGGTCTACAGAGTGAGTTTCAGGACAGCCAGGGCTGTTACACAGAGAAACCCTGTCTTGAAAAACAAAACAAACAAGCAAAATGTCTATAAAAGAATGAACAGATGGAAACTAACCCAAGTCTCACATGTTCACATTATCCCAGAAGACAGCAATAGCCCTCTCTTATCAGTCAACTTTCACTTGCTGAGGAAATATATTGAAGGAAATGTTGGGTTAACTTTAACATGTCCACAAATGTAGGTGAAAAGCTAGCCAAAGGCTGATTTGTGATACTCATGGAACTCTCCAAGAGAAATCAAGTAGCTGGTTTCTAGCAATATTAGCAACATGTTTGCTATCATGGCATTCAGGAGGAATCGAATTCTACTTTTGATTTTTCTAGAAAACCTTTTAGCTGCAAAAAAGTAGAAAAATTAAGGCATATGAGAAAATAGAATGATAATACATATGTGAAAGATTTACAGTGAATCTGAATAAAGAAGGAACTAGAAAGCCAAGAGCTTCTCAGAGGCACATTTTTTTTCTGAGTTTTAATAACCAAAATTTCTCCAGACAAAGCTAAATACCCTCTGTGGAAAAGAAGATACAGAACCAAGTCTCACCCATCACTATTCCATTGAGAATATTTGCCTAAGTTCACGACCATCTTACTCCAAGACCACCTAAATGCAGTCTGTCATTGGAGAGAAAAATAAAATGCATATATGTATCATATTTCCAGGGAATATATTCAATGGAAGTGAAATACCAAAAAAAAAAATATATCATTTGCATAGGTAGGCACAGGTCAATGTCATACACAACTGGAATCCGAGCATCCTGACTTTTCTTACCACGCTATGATACTAGTAGAAAAAATGGTGTTAATGCAGTGTATGAAAACTCCAAAACTTGTACCAACAAACGTCAGCAGTGTAGTCAGCAGTAGTTTTTCCAGTGCCCCATGGAAACATACAAAATAGTACAAATATTACATACATTTGCCTATCTAAATTGAGTTTTTATTCTTGGTTCAAATTAAGCTAGTCTCACCATCTTCTTGCAATCTTCAAGCTTTGCATTTTTTCTTCTTTTTTAGACCACTATCCAGCTACCTGCAACCTAGGATGACTGCACTAAAATTAAGGGAAGCTTGAATAAGGCAAAGAACAAAATAGGGTATGTCGAGGCCACAAGAAATATGGGTAAATTTATTTAATGGCTACCAAATGGTGTTAACTTTGGATATAGACCAAAAAGTATTTATGACTGTCTAGAAAATAAATAACATTTACTACTAATAGAGGTATTTTTTTGGTGGGGATAATTGATATTTAGCAAGTGTGTAAATGTCTATCTGATCATTGTCCTCTAAAGTAACTACCAAAAAGGCTCATAGAGATCACCTTTATTAAGGAGCACTGATATTATACTGGACTATTATGCTGTTATTGAAAGTCAGAATGGATAAAAGTCTTAAAAATTTTATTACATTCAGAAGTGTTCTATGGTATAGACTTTAACTGTGTACTATTTATTTTTAATTGGCACATGCTAGAAGCACTAAGGCTCTTCTCATTCCAGTTTATAGATTTAGAACATATATAATAAAGAACTGTTGACTACTGTCTCCATACTTACCTATAGAAACAGAATGAATTCTTCCTATGCAACTGTATTTTGGTACCCATTATTCAATCTCAACTGCTCTACCTCTATTGATCACTGTTCTTTTCTGTTATACTTTGATGTCTATTTTAGACAATATTTTTAAGTGGACACCCTGTAAGTGAGAAAAAGGAGACAAAGCTATTGATAGCAACCCTGTCTACTACCTCAATTTTCTGTGAATTCTTAATGAATTTCAAGGAAATCTCATTCATAGCTTCAGATTAAGAGTAGAAGAGGTGAGAGTGTATTTTCCCATACTCCCATTTTCCTCACTTCCATCACCCCAAATCTCCATAACCAACTCAATCCCTGAGATAGTCTTACCTCCTACAAACTGTGCAGCTCCCATGCAACGCCCCAACATTCTAGAGATGAGTTCCTCCATGCAGCATCCTAAGACAGCAGCCAGTGCCACCAGGAGTAGCAGCGCACAGCCGGCACCTGTCACCACTGTACACATCTGCCATGCCAGGCTTGGTATGGCAGTGAAGCTGGCATAGCGCCCACATTCTTCCACCATGATCAGATTGTGCCCGTCTCCCCTCACAGGATAGTTGCATCTCCTGAATGTGCTGAAAGAGACTGGCTTCCCTAGCTGTGATCCAAACAGCCAATAAGGAAGGAAGTAACTGGTAGAACTCGCCACAGCAGTAACTAGGGATAGAAAGGCCCAGAAGGTGCCTACCAGGGTGAGGCTGCTCCTCATGGTCTCAGGTTTCTCTGAAAGGATGGGAAGATGAGATGGTTCACAGCAGCAAAAGCAACAAGTCACGATGTAGGCTCCACTGGCCTGTTTTCATCAGGTTGGCAGGTCCTGGGACTCACAGGTGTGCCATGTGGCTCTTGCCTCTGGAGGAGATCATTCTCTCAAGTGTCATTTGGGTCTTTGTGGGATGTTGCTTTCCATCATCCTTTTCTTCTGCCTACTTCAGAGTTCTATGGTCGCTAGGCTGCAGTGGAAGAGTCACAGAACTGAATTAGTGACTGCTATGGTAATGCGAATGGAGCCTGATTAGTCAGCGTATTACTCTTGTCACACAATATGGAACCAATCATGAGAAGAGAATATGAAAGTAAGGCTGTCGCAAGACTCCCTGGGGATTTTAGTTAGATGAGTTTTTGACACGGTTTTTCAGAAAATAAAGAGGAACAAAAGTCACGCGTCTGCCCCTATTTTAGAGGTAAGAGGGCATTGTAAGATGTTCCATTTTGACTTAGAGTGTCCAACAATGTGTATGCTTTTCACACAAATATCAAAGCTAAACTGATAAGATAAAATAAATGTTGCCTTGTTTTGTATTGTATAACTATTACTGGGTCACGTCCCACACAAGAACTGAGCAGCAACCTGCCAGCCAGCAGCGCTTACGCCTAGACTACCAAGAAAATCATCCACATCCTATGCTTTTAATAAAGTTAATAAAGCTTCTCATCTCCCAGAAACATATCAAGATCAGGATTTCTCCAGGGAAAGAACATATATGTACAGCTGCATGGGACTTTCAAGATTCCCTTTGGAACAAGTAAGCTCAGTTTCAGGATACTGGCTTTCCAGTGCTAGTAGCCTCAGCTCAGCTCACAAATTGCTTTCCAGACTCTCCTCTGTCAAAAATCAACGACTTCCTTTCCAATCCATTAACCTGCCATTGCTTTCTGGCTAGTTTCTCCACTAACTCAGCTAGAGACCACACTGTAGCTTGATGAAAGCTCTGTAAATGTCTCTAGCAGGCAGATGGTAGAATGTTTCTGAAACTTCTCTCCGATTCACCACCACTTCTTAGAATTTTAAGTTGTAGTGATATTGGAAAAGGCGAGGGCAAAACACAAGGAGTATAGGGACTAGCTGTATGAAGCCACCATAATGTCACTTTGGGAGATCAACAGGAACAAACCCTACCTGTATCTAGGGTGTCAGGATCTAGCTGTATGCGATTTGTAAGCATCATCAGATACTGCTTGGACAAGGCATGCAGTACAATTCATATTTGCTTAATGAACTTTTAAAAAAGATCATCCAATTCCCAGACTGGCTGAGACTTTAATGAATCACCTACTTCAGCCTTCTTGCTTTACATATGGGTGAGTTTGGCTCAGCAAAGCAGGAAGTGATATTTTTTTTCAGTCACAGTTAGTAACCAGACACAACGGAACCAGAAACTTGAACTGTAGTTTACTAGTCCAGAGTTTGGAGACCACCACACAGTGCTAACCTGCCCTTGCCTATCGTTTTACAGATGTGAATCTGTGGAGGAAGTTCTTTACCCAAGAGGGAAAAGCTAGAGGGGTACACAGAACAAACTAGGGTCCAATGGTTTGTTCCCCAGTATTATACTCTCTTTCCACTCCATCACAATTCCTTCTTGAAACATATGTGTTTTGTGCAGGAAGGGAGCCGAGACCATAAATTGTAGGTGCTTGCTTTGGAATGTTAAGGTTTGCAAAGAAAGTACCATGATCTGGTCCCCTGAGGATGAAGCTTTCTGCCTGAGAGTTGGGAAAATGAAAGAAAGATGTGGTGAGGGATTGGAGGCCAACAGGGGAAGGAGTGGAACTGGTTTGAGTAATTGCTTTTAGAAGGCAGCTATCCTTTGCCACAATGAGGTAATGCTTCTGCGTGTTATGTTGGCGTTTGTAAGAATATGAAACTTCTTACAGAGACCAGATGGGGAGAAAGAGAAAGCTAGTAAACAGCTACTGGCATCATCATTAATACCTTTTCTCAACCTATCATTTCATGTGCTGTGCTCAGAAATCTTCTTGGGTTTGTAAGTTATTAGCTCTCCAATTCCAAATAAGCAAACTGGGGGTCAGACAGTCAAATGATTTTCACAATGATACATGATGACTCAATAACAAAGTTATCATTTCTCTCTCTCCTACCTACAACCTTCTCTTCTTGCATAGTGTTACCCCAATAGAATTATAGTATCACCCTGTAATATTACACTTAAAAGTCTTCATGGTGTCATATCCACAAAAGTACTTCAGAATGGGTCAAAAATTACAAGCCAAGACAGAGAAGTTGAGAGGAATGTCCATTTTTCAAGACATATAACAAGAGTGTTGACCGCTTCAAGCCCAACACTTGTAGCCGGACGTCATCACCTTGAGCTCATCCAGCATGATGACTAGGAAGAATGGCAGAAAATATAGGGCAGAGGAAGACAGTAGCATCAGTGAGTAATAGACTGTGGTGGAAGGGAAACCCAGCATTGTAGAGTCCGCACCTAAACTCACAAGTGCTGGAGAGGGAAAGGCAGGGGGATTGAGAGCTTAAGGCCATCCTGGGCTACACAGCCTGGCACTTTCTCAGATATGTGCAACTAGGGGAGATTCTAATGGAACATTGATCTAATCAGTGAAAACAAATGCTGTTACTTGAAGTATAATACTACCAAACATTGCCACCATGATTACAAATATGGAATTGTGAAACCAGGATGTAGGAAATTAGAACTTAAATTTTAGTATGAATATATCTAACTAAAGAAAACTCATTGTTTTAGAACTTAAATAATTTAAACTTTGGTAAAAAAATGAATTTCCTTATTTTCATTGAGATTTTAGTAAACAACAAAAGCTGCCTGGAACTGAAGGATTTTCTGTAAGTAATGTGGGCTTGTCTGTGACAAATTCAGAAAAGACCAAAGCCACCTGGGGTGAGACGGTCACCATATGTAGAATTGGAGATGTCTTTAGCCAGCATCATCAGTGGGCAGCAGGTTGAGAATCACTGCCATCGATACCTCTCTAACGAGCTCTCTCCATGACTCAAAAGATATGAAGTTAAAACTGGCCAAGAAAGCCAACATTGAAAAGATGAAATGTATACATTTTGCCTCATGCCTCTCTCAATCATGGACCCTTGGCCTTATAAGATTAATGCTTAGGTTGTGGGGGTTTGGTTGCTTATTATTCCTGGAGCACATAGTGAGAGTGAGCCTACCTTTCCATAGCTGGACAGAGAAACAGAAGTATACGTGGAGTCTATGCACCCACATTGCTGCATGTTCCCAGTTGTTGGGTAGTGAAGCACAGTTTAGCAACTGCTTTTAGTTACATCACCTGGAACGGAGTAAACCCCTTGATGGCAGCCTTCTAAAGCAATCCGAGTTCATTCCCAGAAACTGGTTCAGTCATTTTATTCTCACTTCAATAAATATCACAAACAATGCTGTCCTTCATTGTACCCTAATGTCCCATACATTTCGTATTACACCACCTCTGTTTCCCTGTCCTGCAATGTCTAGCTATGCAGATACACTGCATTTTAGAAATCTAGACATCACCACTGTGTTTCTATTAGCCAAGCATTGGTTGGTAGAGATTTCACTTTGGTATGATGTGTTCCTTTATTAGTATATTTTTCCATCCCTCAAAAGGAATACTCCCCTTCTCTCTATAGCAAGTATTGTCATAGGTTTTTCTTCGGTTTTGCTATCACATGTATCTACTCTGATGTGATCACTTAATATCAATTAAATTAGAGACATTTGTGCTTATGTTTTGCATAAGGGAATAGGTAAGGGGACATTTTCACCTCTCTCACCTCTTCCCCAGTCCTGGTAGTCACAAATCTTTTCATTCCCACTGGAGTGCATTGCATAAATTCTGAGTTAAAAATAAATAAAACAGTTCCCGAGGGCAACAGGATTCACACAAAAGAGACTGTGAGCTGCAGGTACTAAGGCAAAAATGACTGCAAGCATGCTTATATGACAAGTAGGTTTATTGGCATTAGTGTGAGTAAAAGATATGGACAAATCTTTCTCCTCAACCCCTGGGCAGTGTGTACTGGCTACCTGCCAATCCTGCTACATGTATATCTTCTTCAGTATTGACACGTTACGGGAAATGAGCAAGACGTGCAGACATGTATGTCTAATAGGTGAAGTTCTCTTGTATCGGGCTAACTATATAGTCAGTCTACCCATTCTAGACCCTTCTCATTTAAACAGTACCTCAATAAAGTCTACCATGTCTCAATCATTTTCTGACTACCTTTTTCTGCCTCCTACACTCTCAGAAGTGTCTCCTCTATAATAACAAGAGTTCCAAGGCCTTCTGTGCTTGACTCCCTCTCAAGAAAATGTCACTCAATGGGTTTTATTTTCTACTGGTACCTTTGTGACTCTTAAGAACATCTTAATATTGTTTTACTTCAGTTTTCAAGATTGCTGGAACTTCTTTCAGGCTGCCTGCCCCAGCCATCCCCGCTCTTTTTATCTGGCATGGAAAGAGTTGCAAAAGCAGCTGTGTTGGGTTAGTTTGTTTATTTGCCTGTACATAAACATCCTTACGTACAGATCTCTGAGACTAAAACTTGAGAATAAATCCAGGAAGCAAGACAGTAAGTGGATACAGAGAACCACCTGAGCAACCAAATATCTAGAAAATTGAGGTTGTTGTTCTGATACAGCCATGCTCTCTGAACCTTTGCAGTACAATCAATTAGCTTAATAAAATACCTAGAAGGTCAACTCTAAATAATAGAGTTAACCATACATTGTTAGGGGGAAAAACACAGAAAAACTCCACATATACTAAGCCGTTCTCCTTCTCAAGAGTTTGAGGTTGAAAATGTGGGTACTAGAATGACTTCCCAAATTTCATGTGAGTGTCTCCTGACTCTGACGTCTACTTCCTGAACACCCATCTCTCTAATGCTTTGTCAACCAGCAAGAATAATATCTAGGCAGAAGGCCAGTACCCCATCTTCAATGATCAAATGGTAGACATTTGGCTCATTCAAAACTGCCCCTCAGT